CCTGAAGCTAGAAGGCCAGGCTCCACAGCCTTAGGAGTGCTGTGTTTTGATTCCTGATGATTATACATTTGCTTACCTACTCATGGTTGCAGCCAGGTTTCAAACCGGCATTTTTTCACAGAAACAAGTAAATTGCTTTACAGATCATCGTGTTTTCTTGTCAGTGGTGGAGTACTTTTTTCTTCCTCAGACCAAATTTTAGACGTACACAAGAAAATCTGCTTTTCTTGCTTTAGTGTTTTATATTAGTACTTGATTTTGTTTGATGGTGAGCTGCAGGAGTTGCAGTGATAGATCAAAAAGACCAAGTTTCAGTTATGTTTAATTGGATTTCACTGACTAAAAAGATTCCCAAGTCCAATAAAGCAGTGCTGAAAGTGCCTATTTACCCATACTTTTTTCCACAGCTGATCTGGAGTGCAAAAAAAAAAAAAAAAAAAAAAAAAAGAGTGCCTACAAACATGACAGGAAACATTTCCTTGGATGCATTGGTCATCTCTGTAAACCACATTTTCCTACCTGTGCTGTGCAGATAGGGTAGAATTCATCCTGGTTGAGTCTGTTTTGTAAAACTGGCTCTTCTCTTATATGAGAACTTGGAAGAAGAACGAGCTTTTCAGGTCCTGTTTGTCTGGGCAGGTTGGGACAGGAAAGGTTGCACAAAGGCAGATTCAGTCCCAGCTGGTCTCAGCATGGAGCCCTTCTGCTACCAGAGCAGCTCTCTGGGCACAGGAGCATCAGTGTTACAGGTTGTTCTGTGTTATGCCCCTGTAGGAGTGGGAAGAAATGGACTTGCTCCTTTTGAGGACTACAGAGATAGCAGCAGCCATTGGCTTGCTTTTAGGAGCATCTGACAAAAAGACACCAGGGTGAGAGTGAAGGTTGAATGATGTACTTGTTCCTTTACTTGTTGTTTACTTTCATTTCAGATTGTTGAGCTGGTTACTGTGTTACCAGGTTCATCTGCTCCTGCTCTCGGACCCAGGCTTGTGCAACCAGAGAGTATGTGGGAGTCTGCACAGGCAGGAGCTGTGCTGCAGCAGTTTGAGGTGAGGGAGTCTTGAGTGAGAGCAGCAGCTCAGTGCCAGGATTGTGCCTTATATAGCTGCTCGACTCCTGCAGTGCATCTCTTGGTATACAGCTTATGGTAAAAGCCTTCAGGTGCTGTGCTCTTCCACAGCTGTATATCAACTGCTGTTTGTTGGGCTCTGCACACTGAGCTGTGCTGAATGTGGGCCAAAAAGAAGTTGCTTGCTCGGAGTCACAGCTATTGAACAGCCAGCCCTCAGACATGCAAAATGCTGCCAAAATCCCTCCTGCGTCAGCGAATGCCTGAGGTGGCCAGTGCTAGCCAGGAGGCCTCCTCTAGTGGCTGGCTGCATGTCCCCATGCAGGTGGCCAGTCTCTTCCATTTAGGAGCAAGGAGGGCAGAGCACTCACAAGATGTGATTTCCCATGAAGATTACATGTTGCCAAGGTCAGGCTGCATCTTATATCAGGCCCCTTACATCAGGTCGCTTTGACTGAGAACATGTTCTTGTTCGTAGGGAGAAAACTTAATCTGTATCTGGACTGTGGTGTAATGCAGAGCGCCAGGCTATGAATGCTGCCAGTGTACTGTTTGTTTTAAACACCACCTATTTTTGTTTTCAGGGCTCCTTTTTTAACCTTTCTGGAAAATGCTGCTGTGGCCACCATCCACTATTCTGCTTCTCTAATGGCTCACCTACAGTGAATCACTCTCAGAGAATGGCCCTGTTTTTAATTGCTGGACACTGCTTTTCTGCAAGAAGGGATTTGTAAACTGCAAATATTTGCAGCTCTCCAAACCCACAAAAATAATGTTTGTCAGTGCTCTAGAGATCAATGTTTAAACCATACAGTCTAGTGCAATCAGAAGGATGTTTTTGTTTATTAGGAATATATTTTAAAAGTAAACAAATTAATTTATAGATAGTTATATAATTACACACACACACATATATACATATATAGAGTCAATTACAGATGTAAATATGTTAGGCAACTCTGGTACAATGAAGTTATGTCTTAAAAAAATACATCTTACAGTTGTAATTGTATGAGGTTCTCATTGAATATTACTATAAGCAGACATTTTTATAAATAACATTTGAGGTCTCAAATAAAACTTCTTTGTTTCCTGCCTCAAGTGTCTGCCAAATTATTTTTGATTCTTGGGAGACTAGAAAAGTGGAAACCTTTCTCCAACCCTTTGGTTATACTGCTACCAGATTGTGCAGTTGGATTTGTTGCTTCTTGGTTCTCACTCTTATCTGAGAGTGCTTCTTTCTCATCCATTCTTGAACTCAGCCCATGCCATGAACAGCAGGTATTCGTACATTTTTGTTACTACTGTAAGTTTTGCTATAAATTGTCCCTTGAAAATATCATTGCTGTCTCAACATCGCTTTTACTGCATGGTAGAGCCCAAGCTGTTTTTGTTTTGTTTGGAGCCCCAAGATCTTTTGATGCAGATATTGCAGTTTCTAGCCTTTTCGTGCTTGTTAAAACATAAATGTGTTATGAGACCATCTTAAGAAAAAAAAAGAGGCTGTTGAGTGATACATCCAGAAATGAAGCCACCTAGGGATACGTAATGAGCATCAAGGCTTGTATGCTCATGGCCAGTTACTTGGACTTTGAAGTTGGGGTACCAAAGCAATGAAAGTATGCTCAAATTAGTTGTTAAATTGTTAAGCTAAAAGGAGATTAATTAAAACATCATAAAACATTGTTCTTGAAAAGGAAATGGAGAAGGCACTGGCTTCTTGTTTTTACAGCAAATATAATACAGTGAGTCTGTGATGAAGAGTTCGACCACAGCAAATTCCTGGGGTTAAACATAACAACAACAAAACAACAGAAAACAGGGATTTTCTAGTCTGCATTTTACAGTAGCTTTCAGAGGTTTATAGTCACGTTTAAATCAGATGCTAGCAAAAACTTGCTAAATATTATATGTATGAACATACAGGCTTGTCTGGAAATTGTTCAAGAAAAATTGATGCTCTGTGGGGTGAAATATATCATCATTGTGTCTTATTCATTTTTAATATATTTTTTTACTTTTGAGGGAATATATTGATGCTTTAGTAAGTGCTCCTCTAAAACACTGTGATGTTCTCTAGCTGGAGGTGGGATGGGCTGCTGTAACAAGTAGGAATCATCTAAAATCAAGTTATAATCTAAAATGTTTCTTTTGCATTTTACTTGCTGCTGTCTCCTGTTCTTCAGAATGAAAGAAATTTTATGCAATATCTCCACTTCTAAGTTATTGCAGGGGAGACTTAGGTAAATCTCAGTGTAGGACTTACTCTTTACTAATAGCAATTTTAAAAGTACTTTGCCCAGCATGATAAATTATGTGTCTCTGCAGAGGCACTGAGGAGTAGAGTAGAAACAAGCCACCCCAACAATTCTGACTTCATTTTCTGTTTTGTAACATTTGCGATAGTTAATTGCAGACTGTATATAAAATGATGTATAGGATAAGAGAAATCTCCATATATTCCAAAACTAAGCTGTTGTTGCAGCTACACTGCATAACTGTTATGCACAGTGCCAAACTGTTTTGGCTTTTTGTACCCCCAGAAGGGTGCAAAGAAACAGAAATAGGGTGAAGACAACTGTTTCAGGCTATCTGCACATTTCTTCCAAGAGACAAAAACTTCTGCCAGAAAAAAATCAGCTGCTGGAATTATTTTAATCTCTTGTGCTGAACTTTTACACTTTATTTTGAATTTTTCACTGTTGCTGCCTTGAACATGGTGTATATTTCACATTTCTTGTCCCCGTTTGCTCTCTCTGCGTGTCCAGCCTGCTTATACCTAATTCCACATTTCTCTTAGCAGCTTTCAAAGAGATGGTGAGAAATGACCTGATGCAGTCTAGAGGCAGTAAAAATATTTTTATTCACTGATTCTCATAGATCGTTCTGAGAGCTCTGGCCAATGGGTGATATGGAAACACCTAGGGTTTATAGATTATTATTCCTAGCAGATTCATATTGAATATCCTTTTTAAAATAAACTCACAGCCATGCACGTATGCCTTTCAGAGTAGAACAGAGCAAGATAACCTTGCACTGAGTTTCTGCATCACCCTGCTCTTACATTTAAACTCTTTTGTTTTAATCAGTTACTTCTCACAGTCATTATGAGGATTCATTTTTTAATGGCATTCACTAATAAGTATTATTTATGTGTGATACCCTGAGAATAAGTAATCTCATTCTTTCTGAATCTCTTTGCTTTCTTCTGGTGTTGAGTTTAGCAATTGCTAGTGACAGTCAAAGTTTATAGAACAGTTCTTGGTTTTACAGGAACAAAACATCATGGAAACACCACCTCTCAACTCCATCCCTGGTAGCAATAGTAAATATTTGGTCAGAGTGTACTTTCCATTCGGCATCTCTGGGCTGTTTTTTTGGAAAAGTCTTGCATTTGCAATAGCGTGATCACACACTGATAAAGCGGACCTTCCCAAAGTGCTTCAGTAAGCTGTTATAGAAAGAAAAATTAGAGGAAGACATGGAAAGACTTTTAATAAGATGCATGAAACCATGAGGTCTTCTTGTCTCTACATATCTTTAAGGCAGATAACAAAGTGGGGCAAGTCATTCTTGCTTTGTCTGATTTTTTCTCTGGATTTGTACTGAACTTCTTGTGAAAGTCACAGAAGTACCATGTTCTGAATCTTACTGTTCTTTATGATTTAAAATGATTTAAAATCATTACACCTTAATCAAACCTACAGCTCTTAAGCAATTTGTTGTTCCCACATTTGCATCTGACTAGGAAAGGCACCCCAGTAGGGAACTGTGAGTTTTGCAGGTCCTCAGCTGTGAAGTATAGCACAGCAGGAACCACTGAACTTGATTGACATTGCTCATTTGCTCTTTAACACAGCTGCCTGCTAATTCTACCAGGAAATGTTTCTGAACCATAACAGATTTAGTTGCTGTATGCCTGTGATATACTCTGGGATCTCCTCTGCTAGCTCTTGCTCCTGATTAACACAGGTATGTGCTTTGTAGCTAAAATCTGTTTGGTCCGTGACTTCTGGTTGGGAAACCTGGTGTATCTCTGAGGGGTGGCCAGGTTGTATGCTTGTCCCCTAAAAGCTGTGGATGGAGGAGGATGGGAAGGGTAGGATAAGGATATGGATAAGGCTGAAGAGCCTCAATGCCAATTTAGTGCTACATAGGGAGGCATTCTGTTGGTATTCTGTATGGTCTTCTTGCCAGGGAGCTGAAGGAAACCGAAGCATAGCTAAGAATTGAGCTGGTTGCCTTCATCCCAAATATAGACAAAAACTATACAGGAGCAGATACACGATGTGCTATTTTCTCAGAGGAATAGAAAAAGACTTATTCTTTTAAATCTGTGCAGAGAAACTGCATTCCAGGGAAAAAGCACTGATAATAATCCACTATAAAACCAAGATTAGAGTCCAGACAAAGAGGACTGGCTTTTGTTCTCTAAACAAGAAATTATCCTACACAACCCATTCAATAGAGCATCTGACCAGGTAATTAGAGTCCAAATTTCAACTTTCAAGGTTTTGCTGTGTATTACTCTCTCTTTGTTGTTTATTGCACAAGCTCAGGCGCTCAGTGATAAACTGTTTGCTCTGTGGCCTTGCTGTGGTACATGGAAAACTTTCCATGACTGTACTGCTAGGAACAGAAATAGCTAGGCATGTTCCAGGCGGCTTTTGGAACAACTCAGTTTGGATCCCGATGAAAAGAGGGATTGTTCAGAGGCTCATCAATATCCTGTATGACTTGTTTGTTTCTCTTTAAATCTGTTATATGGAAGAGCATGAAATGCTGGGAAGAGATTTTATTTCATATCCTCCTGGTAGCTTTTAGAGTCGTACATTGCCATGCAGTTCATGAACAAACTTTCTTCCAGGGTTAAGCCAGGGGAATGGATTTGTTTCTTTTATTGTTACTTAATTCTTTTACTTCAGTTGCAGTGTATTGAAGGAGAAAGCCATTATCTTTTTTTGTTTGTTTTTAAGCAGTAACATTTTGTTTTTATAGTAACCCTGTGTTAACATATTGGGAAATGTAGTGTTTAACAATTTTTTTCATTCTGGAGTTTTCTATATGCAAAATTCTCTTTCAGTATATACTAAGATCTGGTGTTGATAATTCAGATACAGAGAGCTGAGAGGAAAATTATTGTTATTTTTTCTGCTTCAACCTGTCTGTTGAAATCAGAACTGAATTAATTCCCCCTTTATCTGCCCAAAATTTCTTAGGTGAATTCTTGTGAGCTTCCTGACTGCTTCGTATTCCTTTTACTTCTTTGAAGGAGACCTTCAATTCCCCTATCTTCATCCTCTTTTTGTTTCCCTGGGACATAAGCCATAGGACTAAAAGAAGTGGCTAGAGCATGTGGATATAAAGGTGTATCAGATTTACCTGAAACTGTAATAGGTTACTCCTTGTTCTCCAGGCACCTACAGTTGGCACTAAAAAACTGGTCTAGTGACTTTTATCTTTAAGAAATAGTGCTTTGTAGTTTATATGCCAAGAGTTAGAGTGCTCATTGCTTAACTTTCATTTCTCCTGATCGTAACAAAATTTCTCAGGCAATATTTTGCATCTTAACATTGTTTAAATAATCTTTCTGGTTAAGCTGATTAATCCTGGATGGATTTACTAATCTGGGGAGGAAAAACTGCCAAAGATACATAGCAGAGTATTTCCTAACTTCTTTTGTCTGAAGACTGTGATTATTTCTTTTCTCCTCCACAGGCATATCTTGAGTGAGCTTTGAGAAAATACTTATCTCGTAAATGAACTGTAGTCAGCTGAAGGGACTGAAGGAAACTAAACCATTCTGTGGTTGACAAAGGGACATGGGATTTTATATGGGTATAAATCTACTGCTGGATTTGGGCTTCCGCACTAGCTGGATGCTAGTTCTACTAGTAGAGTCATCATCTCTATTACCAGTTTGAATTAATGGTTTTGTTATAGAAGAAAATATTTAGACAACTGATGCTAGACAGACTAAACTTCCTTTTCTGCTGAAGTATTTGTAGGAAGTGGTACTTCTGAAGTGGGTGCACTTTTGTTCAAGTTTATCCATCTTCTGGAAAACCTGGAGGCTTGAGGCCCTAGGTCCATCTAAACCGCTTCAGCGTCGTTCTTCTACTACTATTCTCGTCTGTAAACTTGTAAAGATGCAAGAATGTTGAAAACCGTTGGTCAAATAGGAAAAGGTTGAACATTAGATTTCTTGATAAGGGTTCTCTTCCATGCACCTGTTTGTGTGGTCACATTATTTGCCTTGATGATAAAATCTTTTAAACACAGTATGTATTTTAGAAGATCCTCTCCTCAGGTATCCTGGATCCTATTATCTTGAGTTCATAAATCATGCTCTGTCACAAGCAGTTACCAACCATGTCACAACTCATTCGTAGTCCATGCCTTCCTGTCATCAGCATTATAGTGTTTCTGTATTTCATGTGTTTCCATAGCTTGTAAATAACCCATGGCATGGCAGCGTGGCAAAGTAACCCTGCCTCCAGGGTAGACAGTACTATACTACAGCTTTTCATACTCTTTCCATATGCAGCACCATCACAACTGCGGTTTCCAGGAGAAATCTTATCTAGCTTAACATCAATCTTATTCTCAATGAACCACAGAAAGCAGAACCTTAAGCTAAATACACTTAGGAGGAAAAATACATCAGCACTTCAGAGCTTTTTGAATTGGAAACTTGGAGGTCTTGTTATGATGGATTCAAGATTTCCAGCTGTGACACTATGACCTGCTGTTTCATTTTGGTGATATCACTTCATAGGATATAAGCAACTTAAAGTTTCCCAGGACATCATAATGCTGTTTAATAAACAAATAAACTAGGTCTTACACTGCAACTCTGGACTCAGATCGGTTAAAACAGATCAGTTAAAATGCTTCTGAATGCGTGTATCTCCTGGGGCATTCAGATTCTGTGAGCCACTCAGCTTTGATATGGAAAAACATCAGGACGCTTCTAAGTTACCTTCCTCCTAATTCATGCTAGAGGACTGAAGAAGGCCCCATCTAATTGTTCAAATGTAATAGTGATGTTTAAGGAAGATTTGGGGAAACTGAGGAAAGAAGTGTTAGTGGATACAAGGCCTCTGTGAGGATGAGGAGAAACTTCACTGAACAGGCTCCAGAAGGTCCTCTGCTTTTGGTAAATTTCCCTACATGCAGATGCAGCAGAAAGTCCCTTCTCTGAACCTTTTTGTGCCAGACGAGGAAAAATAAGTGAATTTAAGCTTACAGAATAGCTGTTTAGCTGTAGTTCTTTTGCAGAAATGTCACATGTAGTTTTGTGGAATGGAGACATTCCTATGAAATTCAAGCTAGTTTCTCTCTGTGTTTAGCTGATGATGCCAGTGCCCTACACAGCCAGCCTCCCTTGTGAGATTCTGCAGGTGCTTTGCAGGCATGTGGAATTAATATAAACTGCACAGGTAAAAGATGATGATAGGTACATAACTGAACTTGGCTGAGTATCATGCTTTTGGGACAGTATTTAAGGTGGGGACCTGGCACTGGGTTTGAACTAATGTGTTCTATCTTCACGACTAGGAAGAGTGTGGCTGCTTATACTATTTCTTATTTAAGCAGAAAGCCCCACAGGGTGAGAGGGAATGGGATGGAAAAAGCCAGTGGCATCGGGATGGGATGGGAAAGAATGAGCTGAAATGAGGTTTTGCTGGTTTGCTTTCTTAATAATAAGTTGCATTTCTGGAGGTTCTTGTGGGCAGTGAAAGGCAGGCATAGGAAGGAGGGGGCTGTATGGAGGTTATAACATTTTTTTTCCCTCTCCCCTTCCCCAAGGAGGACAGACTCAGATTTCTCACATGGTGTTTATTCTGGCTTTTTTTTTTTTTTTTTTTTTTTTAACTGCACTCTTGTTTAAATATGTCCTATAAAATATCTTCCTTTTTTCCTCTACATATAACCAAAAGCAAAGAGCAGTGACTTTTGAGAATTCAGGGGAATGTGAAAGAATGTCTACCAAAAAAAACGGACAATCTGAGTGAAGAAAGGAGAGTTATTTTCGTAACTTATTTCCTTTGTACAAATTGAACAAGAAAATAGAACAGCTTCAGAAGTAAGATCCTGCTACTTTCTCTAAAGAAAGGTTCTTTTCAAGCATGTTGCATCATGAAGAAATGGATTTGCAGCGTTAGAAAATCCTGAGCCATGTAATTGAGATACCTGAGAAACATCATTGTGAGTGTATTGCATAGACAGTGGAAAATCACCAGCGTGTTCCTGAGCAGCCCCACACCTCCAGAAGTGCAGGGTCTGCCGCGGGGGGAGCTGGGGACTGCGAGTTAACCTTGGCTGAAATTGTAACTGGATGTTCTGGAGACTTTCTGCAACAGCAACTGATTGTATCTTGTGGATAGATAAAAGTGGATGGACAGAAACATTTCTCTTCTAGCAAAGTTTTGCCCGGAGCAGTAATTTACTGCAAATCAGGGGAGTAACTTTTTCCCCTAAAGATTAAACTGTTACAAGAAATATAGAGGTGCTTTTGTAGTAGGATGACTTTTCAGGGCTGTAACCGTGGAGTAGCACACTCTGATGCTGATGCAATTAACCTTTTCACTGCTGTAGGAAAGCACGTGCAGTCTGACAACAAATTTCTTCTGAAAAAATTCCCCTTTTCAGGCATTGCTACTTTGGTTGTCTATCTCATTCGTACACTGACACCCAGCTGGATCAGGAAAATGCTCTGCATGGGGGGTTTTTAAGTCCTGCTGTGGGCACTGGAATATTTTCATACTTCACCTCTTTACAGCCCTCAGTGGAAAGGAAAAGAGGTACCGGAGAGGGACGACAAATAATGCTAACTTCAGTTTGGAGAGGGTGGTAAGCACCATAATGCAGGATTTACCTCAATATCTGGCAGCTAGATGTTGGATTAAGACCCAAAGTATGTGGGACAGAGAATGTGATGCTCTCGAACATTTTCCTTCAGAGATTTT